TGGATTTCTGAAATGTTGGCTCAAAAAAGGTGCCCATTGTCTATTTTAACCCATCCAATGACTACAAAGTAAAATAAGTGCTGTAATAAGGCTAGTATTTGTAATGGACTTGTCCCTCAAGTTTAATATCAGATGCAGTTTTGACATTTTTGGATAAATCAACTGGTGAAACATTGGTCTTATGTACAGAAATTAGTGGTTGCCATTTAGTTCTTGGTTATTTCGTAGTAAACGCTCACCAACTCACCTGACACTGTTGCTGAAATGCCCTGCAGTGGGGTGAGGGGTGATCTCTTGGTGAATGTGCTTTACAGCATCCATGACCTTGTTTCTGAGATACCGAGATTACAATATTGCATTTATATGACAGAAATCAAATTGGAAAGCATTGGCTGGGGTCTATTTTAAAAGCTTAGACTTTTGGTTTCAGAGGCAATCATCATTGCTTTTAGGCAACTCATCATCTAGTCCTTATATTTTTCTGCCTCAGTTTCTCTTGCTAGATGCAATTCAACATTAACACTTAAAAAAATAATGCTACTGTGGTGAAGATCAATGCACATCCCAAACAGACAAGACAGAGACAGAGAAAGGTCCCAAGAAAGAGAAAGCTCCAGTCCCATCTGGACCAGGCACAAAAGTTGTCTATACTGAAGGCCCTCTTAAAAACTGGAATAAGCAAATGCTGGTGGGTCTTAAATGACCTGCAAGGCATTGCTGCATTGGCGTTTCCGGTTGTAGATGTAAAAATCTGGCAGGTAAGGAGCAGGAAAATCACTTTACCTTCTCTAACATTAAACACGGATTCAGTTGACATGTATTATGTTTATTCCACTTGCTAAAAGACAACTTGGAGATTGTTCCAGTTTGAGAAACAGGCCCACGACTTACTTCTGGGTTCCCGTGTGATCTCTTTCGGGGCAACGTGGGCACTTCACGTGTCTAGTTGTACCAAAACTTGTAACCTGTAATGAGGTAAGAGATTTAGTCAGTACAGCGTCACCTGAGAGCCCTTTGGGGGCTGCTTTAGACAAGGTACATGAAAAAAAAAAAAAAACAACTTCAGCACAGAGTTTGAAACAATTTGTTTCTCTAGAAAAACAAAATCTCAACTATACATTATTTCCAAAATATCTTACCCAGAGAGCAGCCAGAGGGAAACCTCCCAAAGATTTGGCATTCTGGTGTTCTTATCTCACATGGAAATGGGATTCACATGTGAATGTTGCGTGTGAATATTTATTTTTTTCCAGTTGTAATAATTGGAGAGTATCGCAATTTGTAATCACTCATCTTACTCATTTTAATGATTTCATGAATCCTAGCATTTGTGGTGTTGGTTTTCATCTCAGACTTGTTTAATTTGAATAAGATGAGGGACATCGCATTGTACAAATGTATGTTTGTCACACAAATAGTTACTGCATCCAGCAAATACCACAACTCTCGACAGAACTTCTTCCAGTCCCACAGAGCAAACTAAAAGGGGGCCATAAGATGCACAATAAACTCGTTAAAAATCTGTGGAATGAATTTATTGAGTATATGTACAATGTATAGTTCGTTGCCAAAGAGTCTTTTCTCCCTCGGTATATAATTAAGCTCTGGAAACAGAGAGTCCCATATTGCCTTGATTAGAAATTGATTTTATTAATCCTAAAAACCAGGCTTTGGAGCTCAGTTAAATACTTCCTTTAGAAAGAACAGACTTTGGGGTAACCAGTGTGTTTCTGTTACCCATTCTATCCCACATTTTATAGGGTCCTCAAACTACTGACAGATCATGTCACCAGGCAAATGCAATGTGGCAGGTGGCTGGGAGGTTCTGCTGTGGGAACATCAGGGTTTTCAGAGAGTTGATGCCTTAGGAGTAGAATGTCTCAGCTAAACCCAGCAGGAAAAAACACTGGTACCTTCCCAGAGCACCTCCTCCAATCTTTCAGAGTACATATGTGTTTATAAATGATGGTAGCAATAAATAATGTTAATAAAAGTGGCAAATGCTTATATCATGTTAATTTAAGCCCTATTAACTTCTAAAAAATGTATGTATGTATATATATTTTATTGTGATAAAATGTATAAAATTTACCATTTTAATCATGTTTAGGTATACTATTCAGTGATTAAGTACGTTCACTTTGCTGTATGACCATCAGCACCGTCCATCTCCAGAATTCTCTTCATTTTCCCAAACTGGAACTGTGGACTCATTAAAAGATAGTTGCCCATTCCTCCCATGCCCTGCTCCTGGCGACCACCATTCTTTCTGTCTCTATGGATCTGACTCCTCGGGGAGCCTCATACAATTTTTATCTTTTTGTCTTTTCATGTCTGGCTTATTTCTTTTAGCATAATGTCTTTGGGGTTCATCCATGTTGGAGCATGTGTCAGAATGTCCTCCCTTTTATGGCAGAATAATATTCTGTTGTGTGTATATATCACCTCTGAGTTATCCCCTCATCCACTGATGGGCATTCAGGTTGTTTTCAACCTTACGTGATTTTTATATATTAACTGTTTTAATTCTCACAATCCTAGCCTTTATTATCCTTATTTTCTGATCAGAAACTGAAGCATCAAGAGGTCACAGCTAGGGGCGCCTGGGTGGCTCAGTTGGTTAAGCGACTGCCTTCGGCTCAGGTCATGATCCTGGGGTCCCGGGATCGAGTCCCGCATCGGGCTACCTGCTCGGCAGGGAGTCTGCTTCTCCCTCTCCCGCTCCCCCCTCTTGTGCTCTTTCTCTCTCTCACTCTCTCTCTCAAATAAATAAATAAAATCTTTAAAAAAAAAAAAAAAAAAAAAAAAAAAAAAGAGGTCACAGCTAAGCAGCTCTGGAGACAGGATTCTACTCCAGGCTGAGTAGGTCCTTCAGTCCCTGCTCCTAACCAATATGCAATATGCTAGCTTGGGCTAGCCCTTTGCAAATGATTTATGACTCTAAATATAGCTTGCATTAGACAAGCCTTGATACAACACTCTGAGGTGAGGTTTCTGACATCACTCGTCCAGGTTTTAAAAGGTCCAAGGAGTGGTCAGTTTGACAACAGAGCCCCATAGCAACTGATCTGTAAAAGAAGCCCATTACTGCAAAATAGACAGTTTTCTGAGGGGCTAGAGGATGTTCTTTTCTTTTTCAGGACCCCCTCCTGTGTGGATGATAACACCTTGAATAGAACTAGGTAGGCCATGAGAAAGGGATTAAAAATAAAAATAACAACGACATCAATAACAATACAAGTTACCACGTGTAGACCTACTATGCACCGGTCACTCTACTTACATTACCTCAGGTTCCCGCAATGCTTCGTAAGAGGTAACCCTCCTGTCGCCTCCATGTCCCATCCTTTAACAGTATTGCACACCGCCTGTGCTCTCTCCTCAGAGGGAAAACCGCAGATGAAATCGTCATTTTTGTCTAACATGTATATTTTCCTTAGGGTTTGCTTTTTCCCAAATTTAAATAGTTTTGAAATTGTTATGTTTTTCATAAGTATGTGCTTGATTGATATGAGAAGATACCTTAATGTTAGGATATCGTCTTTAATTTACTCAAAATAATTTGGCCTCAGTTTACATTAGCTATTTGTAGAACCGTTGCTACGAACTGAATCGTGCCCCCCCTCCCCCCGGCTGCCCTCCAAGTCATATGTTGAAGTCCTAACCTCCCATGTGATGGTATATGGAGACGCGGCCTTCGGAAGGTGATTAGTTTAGATAAGTTCATGAAAGTGGGGCCCTCATAATGGGATTAGTGTCCTTGGAAGAAAAGACACCAGAGAACTTGCTCTGTCTTCTCTCTCTTTCTCTCTCTCTCTTGCCATGCTCATACAAAGCAGAGGCCATGAGAGCACACAATGAGAAGGTTGCCTTCGGCAACCCAGGGGGAAAGCCCTCACTGGGAGCCACCCATGCTGGCACCCTGTTCTCTGACTTTCAGCTTCCAGAACTATGCGAAAATACGTTTTTATTGTTTAAGCCACCTAGTCTGGTATTTTGCGATGACAGCTTGAGCTGACTAATACAACTGCATGGCACATACATGACATTTTCGATTTATAATAACATAATTATGGGCAATATTTTTTAGTGCTTTACTCTGAAGCTAGTCCTAGGCTAAGTTCATTTAGCTAATCTTCTTATATAGTGTGTCTGTGCATGTGTGTGCACGTAGTTGTATGGTTATAATATTATCCCCATTTTATAGAAAGGGAAATTGTAGCGTAGGCAGATGGCAATTTAATTGTCCAAGGACACTTAGTAAAAACAGAATCCATATCCAACCCAGGCAGTTTCTAACTCCAGAGCCTATTCTATTAACTATGGCACAAATTTTATCTTTGACTCTTAGGGGAAAAGTAAGTCTCAACATGGAGACCAGCACATAACAATTTTCTATATAGTAGGTGCATATTTCACTAGAAGCCTGTCAATGACAAGCAAATCTGTCTGTCAAGAGGCCATCCTGCATTACCGAGGTTACTTCATGCAGTTATTCTAATTAACAAGTCTGAAATCTGGAAATGATGTTCCTCCATTTAAAAAAAAAAAAGTCAATTGATGAAATGTTGAATTCTGGAAGGTCGTGCTGATAAGCACATTTGAAGCTTCTCAGAGCAGAAACATCTCTGAGAGCAGTTTCTCTGTTTTCACAGAGAGGTAGTAGACGAGAAGACTTATGAGCCCAGGGCAAAGTTGTGCCTTCAATGCAAAATGTAACTTCGATCTATCTTCCCCTCCTCCAGATTCCTATTTCTTGCCCCTTTTTCTAGTTGCTCCATTGCACAGTCTCTTGTCACTTTCAGTCATGGCCCAGATCCCTAAACTCAAATACCCCTCTCCCCAAACATACACACATTTTTAAATTGGAAAGAATCTGATTCATGTTTTCATCTCCAGCAAGGCTACCATAGATAGACATATGGAACACCCACACTTCAGGACACATGTTTTAGGGTTCAGTGGGGACATGATACTGACCATCCTTTTTTTTCTCACAGAGCTCCAGAACAGCACGCTCTGAGGAGGACCGGGATGGCCTGTGGGATGCTTGGGGCCCATGGAGCGAGTGCTCACGCACCTGCGGTGGAGGGGCCTCCTACTCGCTGAGACGCTGCCTCAGCAGCAAGTAAGTCCTGCACTCCAGAGGGGTGGGAGTTTGTAAGGCCCAGTGGTAGCAGGTTCAATGCATACTTTTGTGGCTGGGGGTATGCAGAGCGTTTGGTTGCACACAAATCCAGATGGAAGGAAGGTGCCAAGAATTAAATCTGTGCATCTACAGCTAGGTTATTTATATACTTTTATATGATAAGCAATATTATCTCATTTACCAAGCAAATTTTGTCTGTTCTCCTGTTAGAACTGGAAGAACAATTTATGATTAGAAATGGACGTAGTATATTAAGCTCCATGATATCCTTTTTTAATCAGCTTAATTATAGTGGCAAGACTAGCAACAATATTAACATTAACAGCATGTTCAGTTTATGTTAGATTCCAGTGCCATCAAGCACTTTGCAAATGAGTGATGTGTTGGTTTGGTGTTTTAGATGTCATAATGGCTGGAAGTTCCCTAAGGTTATTCAGTTCAATGAATGATGAAGTTTGCATATAAGGAGATTTGGGAGAACAGAAACTGCTGTGGGAATTGGGCATGGGAGTGAGAGCAGTGGGGAAGGTGGAAAGTGGCTAATGGGTTCTAAGCTGTAAGTAAAGGCCTGAGGCATTAGAATGAAAGTCTACTTGGAATAATAATAATTCTGAACTGTATCTTGAGCTGTGTGGTCTATGATAGATTTTTCTCCAAAATATAAAATCTAAAGTACAATAGTAATATTTTTTAATGAAAGATTTTTATTTGACAGTGAAAAGTGTTACATGTGACAAGTAAGAGGTTTGATTGAAATTACTATATATTATAAAACATGAAACAGAAGAATGAAAAAAATATATATCTGCTGATTCTTGTAGACTTCTCGTCAACAGCAGAAAGTAGTAAGATGTAGGTTCAGAAAAATGTCAACTTACTCTAATGAGTAAGACTTTCTTGAAATCAAAATCCAAGTCTTACTCCTTTCTGTGTCCCCCAGGCTTGCACATGGTCTGATAGATAGGTGTTCCTTCACTGAATCCACTGAAAACTGGAGGCCATTTTGGTTCTAGGCAGATCCCAGTAGAAATGATGTACCCTGGGGAACCTGGCCAAAGGGCATATCCTGCAAGAAACTAGATCAATTCTGGTATTTAGCCACACTGGTGTTTGGGTCTACTCTGAAGATGGAGCTATTGGATTGCATCCACTAGCATGTTTGTTTGTCATCTTTGGAGGCTGGCTTCATATCAAAACAGATCCCTGAACTGATTAGGAAAAACAGACCTTTCATTTTTATGATTCATCTCTTCTCTTCGTCTTAAATATCAAAAACTTCCTACATCTGCACTGCATGATGCTGCATGGTGATAGCACCATGAGATATAACTGATAACAAACATACATCAGTAAAGCCAAAATGTGCAAATTTTAAATGTTCCTATTACGCAGTTTTCTTAGATTATTGTGCCTGAATATTCTATAGGGGTGAGCCAAAACATGTGTCTCACAAGGCTGCTAAGGAGTGTGTGGGAACTTTCACACTGGCTCACTGATATGAATGCTACAGTGTGAGAATCTTGTACTTGTCTTGAGTAAGAGACTGATGAACAACTTAAGGGATAAATTACAACCACAGGTAGAACTCTATCATTTGGCAAAGCATCAAATATTGATATTATGTGAAATTCACAATTACCACTTTTGTCACCTAGTAAATTAAGACTCCAATTGTTAGCATTTTATTAAGATACTAAAGAGGATATCAGTTGTCATCTACTCACAATGAATTGGAAAAGTAAAATTAAATTCTAAAAATATAAACACATAGGCTGTATGTCCCTATTTGACTTTCAAATATTGAAAAAAAATACATTAAGTAAACTCATACTGGGCTGGATAGGAAGCTAAAACAATGGGGGGAGGGGCAGACCACCAACCTACCATGGATGGTCATCTGTGGTCTTTTTATTCATTTTGAATAGCTAATCAACTTAATGGATTTTCTCTCATCTCCACTCCACATTTAGACATCCGAATTTAATTTGATCACCTTATACTCTTGAGAAAGATCAGAGGTCATGAATGTATATGTCCTTAGAGGCTCAGTAGAATATGTATTGTAGTCTACTGGTAAGCATACAAATTCAGCCCAAATAAATCCTATCCACCTGTTGAATTAATTTGCCTGACCGATTTTCCAGGCCTGGTGATATGTTCTCACAGATCACTTTTAGCTCTGATATTTTTAAATCTGTCAGCTAATAATTATTCTATTCCAAATACGAGAGAACTGTAAAAGCAGTTAAAATACTCAGCTTTTATGGAATAAAGAAAGGACAACTACTCAACTTCTAGAGTTAATTATGCTCTATGATGGATGGGGAGCTTGTGAAGAGGCTTGGTTAACTTTCTGAGTTTGAGAACATCTTTCTCTGAGTGATCTTTTGAAGAGTCCAGGAAAATAAAAATCAGTGGAGGGGAAGCAGAGGGACAATATGGACAAGTATTAAATATAAAATCCTTCATTCTCACCACCAGTGCTTGACCCTGGAGAAAAAGCCTGGACCCAGGGCGATACTGAGCAGAATCTTTGCTTTGGTTTCTCCCCCATCCTTTTTTTCTAGGCTCACAGAAAGTAAGCCATGCTTAATTTTCCCAATTTCTGATATTGGAGTATTGATAATTGCCTTTACTTGCAACCCTGGTTTGAGCAATAAGGGAAGGTACCATATAAACTTTTTTCTACAACCTTTACTAATTTCTATATGATTATGTTAAATTTCATTGAGTAACTCTGATAATGCAGCTACTTTTTTCTCTCCAAATTTTTATTTAAATTCTAGTTAGTTAACATGTAGTGTAATATTGGTTTCAGGAGTAGAATTTCGTGATTCATCACTCACATATAACACCCAGTTGATAACACGACTATTGCTAATTTTGCCTCACTAAGTCGGCTTTCATTTTTGCATCATGATGTCTGCTTTTGTTTTTGTTTTTTCTAATTAGAAAACAAGATATACCTACTTGTACTTTATGATGATTCTTTATTTTAAGTGAATTAAACAGTGTACCAACTACCTTGAGAAGCTGTTGCTTCTCTCAGATTCTTCACTTTCCCCCACCAAATACTCCGAAATAATATTTTTAACAAATGCATTTTTCTGACTGATCTAGTAGTGTGTCTTGTTTAGTGGAAACTATCTTTCTTCAACCTAAATTACTTAAGCATATAGTTTTAAATTTGATACTAAGGATCTGTCTCTGAGAGCTCTAGCTTTGTCTTCAGCCAGTTAATTTAAGTTTTCCCATAAGGAGTTCCAGATGCATAAGGCACTTAAGAATACTGTGTGTAATGTCATATGTACCACTGTATTAGGTCTCTGCCAAGACCAAGGTCAAAGGGGTAAATGGCAGTTCATTTGAAATGGCAATGAGTCAGATAGCTGGATGCTTTTAAGTGTGGTGTCAACCTTTATATTGGTGCCTGAAGAAGACTTAAAGATCTTTTAAGACATTTTTTACTTTCTGAAATGCCAAATTAATCTCCAGACTAATAAATAGTATGGAATAATAGATTAATACATTAAGAGTAAGAATATTTTGTTAAATCCCAACTAATTAAATGAAGGGCTTGTCAAATGTATATATTCCCAAATAGCAAAAAAATGGCTTGCTTATAAAGGATGAAAGCATTTTTTTAAAGTTAATAAATTTTGTATTGAATTTTTGGGTTGAATAGAATTTTTTGGAGCTGAATAAAATTATTAGATGAACAAGAAATAAAATCATCACACTGTGGAGGTGCCTAAAAGAAGAATATTATATTATTCCAAAGGGATGTGGCTGCCAGAATGTTGTCAATATAAATACAGAAAAATTAAAATAAACATCTTCAACGAGTCTTATCTCACAGTAATGGGGAAGATCATTCAAACTTGTCATTTCATAATAATTGTGCTAAGGGAGAGTAAGCTAACTCCTCTGATTTTTTAATTGCAAACATAATTTTTCTCCCATAAAAATATTGATACTTACAGTAATATAAGCGTTAGTTAGCAAGTAATTTCTACACCATATAATAATAAATACCAAAAGCAAAATTTTAACATTAAGATTTGGGTTCTTAAACAAATATTTTTTTCTTTTAAAGTAATCTCATCTCTATCATAACATCCAATTAAGGGTCACAGGACTTGTTTTAAGAGGTTTTAGAACTTTCAGCTAAAATGAGCCCCAAAGCAAGATTTATCTGTTATTCTTCATCTAGTGTTGTATGTTATCAGCCTTGTTTTCATTGGAAATGCTTGAGTTTTTGTTTAAAAGAAAGATATACAAGTTCAGAATGGGTATGACTACTCTGTCATTTATATGAGATGGTCTTTTCATTGTGTTAGGGAAGATTTCACATTTTAGGATGTTTAAGAGTTTGTGGTTGCCTTCCTTTTACTTTCTGGGTTAAAGCCTAATCTAAATGTGTTACCAGGACTTCTAATAGTCCTCTAATAGTCCAGATCATATACCTTAGAGGGATGTTTTTTTCCCCCCCTCTAAGATCTGATCTCCTTTCAGAAAGAGAATACTGAATGTTTGGAACCAATTTATGGCCTATTTTATCCCATAAACCTGTTTGTTAGAATAAAAAATGGTTGGAAATGTGTTTGGTGTCCATAACCCCTACTAGCCATATTGGGAATTTGTAACTCTTGGCTGTCTTTTTTCTGTTTATTTAAAAATTCTTTATTTGGTTAGTTCAATAGCCCATGTGAAGTTTTTATTTCTCCTCAATTTTCTTTTTTTTTTAAACTACTTTATTGAGATATCTTTGACATGTAAAAAGAACATATATTTAAGATGTACAACTTAATGTTTCAGTATATTTATACATTGTGAAAAGATCACTACAGTACACTAAATACTTTATCCATCACACCTACATAGTTACTGTATGTGTACGTATATGTTGAGAAGATTTAAGAGGTATCCTCTTTCAACTTTCAAGTATATAATACAGTATTGTTAACTGTTACCACCAT